ATACTTTTAAGATTATTCTTTTTTCACTATATAAAAATATTGCATGAATTGCATTAAAAATATACTTAATTTTATCATCAAAGTTCATTTGCAATTCTTTAAAACATCACAAACTTTTTTTATACCAATTAATTAAATTTTTAGGGTGTTTTAGATACAAATTCTCATTTGCTAATTTGAAATTCATGTGGATTTAATATATATAACAAGAATGAGATGACAGTGGTAGCAGTAGTTGTAATATAGGAATAAACTCTTGTGTATATTATATTTACACATTAAATTTTGTTCACTCATAAGTTGGATCTTAAAAAACCACCTGCCACCATTCAATTCAGTTTTAAAAAGGGTGTCAATCCATAAAAAAAAATTTTGTCTCAAAATTTTTTTTTTTGTGGATTTTTTTAATTTGATAGTTATGCTAATTTTCGTGTTACAATATTTTTGCATTATATGATCAAATTTGAGACAAGCAGAAAAGTAATATGATTGTACTGCTTCCACATGAACAGAGAAAAACAAACTTTTACTATCTACTATTATAAAGTTAAAAATTTTATTATTATTTCTGCAATTATTATTAAAGTCCTGAAGCTCCAATTGTTCGTCACAAAAAAGCTAACTTTTGAAATAATTAAATTAAAAAAAAAGTATATCAAATAATTTATTAGTCTTGCACAAGGTTAATATTAATGGCAGATAGAAATCAATTCATTTTATTGAAAAAAAGCTTTATCATTGTAATAAAAATACCTGAATAATGTTTTTTTTTACAAGTCAAGAATCCAAGGTTTCAAAGATTCCTCTATATCATCATAACCATCCTCAAGAAATCTTTTAGTGATTTCCTCTTTATAATTGTTTGAATTTGTTTCATTCATTAATTTGGATATAGTTAATGTATTACATTTACGAGCTAATTCAGCAACATTCATTTGAGGGTTGTTTTTAAAAATAGTAATTGCAGTAATTAAATTGTGAATAGGGCCTCCTAAAGAACTGGATATTTCCTTTAGATCTTGTATATTATTAATATTATTATTTAGTAAATTTTGGTTTATTTTGCTACTACTACTGCTATTATCACCAATTGCAATATTATTATTATTATTATTAATTTTACTGCTTTCATTTCCAAGATTCTTAATGATGGGTGGTAAAGGTTTTAAGCTAAATTTATCACATTTCTTTTGCCCTTTTTGATTTTTTTTATTTACTGAAATACTTGGCATTTTTTTCTTTTGCCATTTTTGATTTTTTTTATTTACTGAAATATTTGGCATTTTTTTCTTTTGCCATTTTTGTTTTTTATTATTTACTGAAATACTTGGCATTTTTTTCTTTTGCCATTTTTGTTTTTTATTATTTACTGAAATACTTGGTGTTGTTATTGTTGAATTGTTACCAACTCCCATCAGATCAAAACTATAAGGAATTTTTTCTGTTGACTTGTATGAATTATTATTAACGGTATTAATTCCCAGATCAAAACTATAAGGAATTTTTTCTGTTGACTTGTATGAATTATTATTAATGGTATTAATTCCCAGATCAAAACTATCATTAATTTTTTCTGTTGACTTGTATGAATTATTATTAATGGTATCAATTCCCAGATCAAAACTATAAGGAATTTTTTCTGTTGACTTGTATGAATTATTATTAATGGCATTAATTCCCAGATCAAAACTATCATTAATTTTTTCTGTTGACTTGTATGAATTATTATTAATGGTATCAATTCCCA